TGCAGTAATAGGCCTTGGGTTACTGCTGGTAATCCTGACTTCCCCTTGTAGGGTTAGAGGAGGTCAGAACATGTGGCCTCCTTGCTGTTTTTGCAGGGACTCTGCCCTTTTTGTGAGGGTTCTTTGCTCTCTAACACACCGCTCACACTGATCTCAGAGCCTCTACCACTTAGGGCCAGTTGAGTCTTCTTCAACCTAAGTCTTCAATTCTAACTTCCTTCTTTTTTTCTTGTTTCCTATCATTATAAATATATTTTGTGGATATATCATCTATCTATGTATATATACACATATATGTAACAAAACACCTGCCATTTCAACTACTTTTATGTGTACAATTCAGTGACATTAATGTCAACCATCACCACTACCCATTTCCAAATATTTTCCATCACCCTCATCAGAAACTCACTCAACTCAAACCAAACTCATTGCTGTCCAGTTGATTCTGACTCATAGTTACCCCTACTGGTGTCCAAGGGTATAAATGTTTACAGAAGCAGACTCCCTTATCTTTCATCCATGAAGTAGCTGGTGGGTTCAAACCACTGATCAAATGCCTTAACCATTACACCACCAAGAAGAGCTCCTTTATCAGAAGCTCAGAACCCCTTAAACAAAAATTCCCCCTTCTCCCTATCACTTGCCCCTGATAACCACTTATATACGTTGGTCTCTATGCATTTGCTGATTCTAGATATTTCATATAAGTGAGACCATACAATATTTGTCCTTTCTATCTGACTTACTTTACTAAGCATGTTTCCAAGGTTCATCAATGTTACAGCATGGATCAGAACTTCATTTCTTTTTATGGCTGATCTAACTTCTCTTTAAGATTCTAGAAACAGGGCATATACCCTGTTAGCTTCCAACATGATAGTTTTCCCAGAGCTAACCTGTGGAATGGATTCAGAAACTGTTCCCTGATGTTGGGAGTGGGGGTTATGCAACACTAGTCCAGAGAGGCTAAGATCACCCACATCTGATGCCAAAATGTATAGTGGGTAAATCCAACTCCATATTCTACCTGCATCCTGTGGACATCTCAGCTTTCCTTCCCTGTTCCATTTAGACCCCAGCTGCCCACTCAATCCCTTCTGTGGTAGTTATGTTTGTGTGTCAATTTGGCTGGGCCTGGTTGAGTGGCTGGGCCGCTGGTGGTAGTTATTCCCCATGATGAGACTGGCAATCAACTCCATGGTGGGATCTACCATAAGCAGCTAAGTAGCTGCCTTTGGGATGTGGTCTGCTTCCTGTATATAAGGAGAAGCCTTGGGAATGGTCTCTAGCTTATGGCATGCTTGATCTCTGTGTGTAGCTGTGTCATTGTTCAGTAGCCTGCCATGCTCTGCTGACCTTGAGACTTAAAAACTTATAACCGACTTGAATTAATGGCCTGCCATGTGGTTTGGTAACATTGGGACTGTGCCATTTTATTTGTCAATCTTGGGCTTGTTAGCCTCAGCAGCCAGCAGCTGCCTGAGTGAAGAGATGCCTTTAGCTTCAATGGGCTGGTAGCAAGAGGCAGAGCTGAAGTCCAAGTCAAGGGGCTTTCACACGGCCCCTAGAGTCTGGCACTTTGAACTTGGACTTAAAGCCTCCAGACTGTGAGAGAATAAACTCCTGTTTGTTCAAGCCATTCCATTTGTGGTATATTTCTTGTCAGAGCAGTACTAGGTAACCAGAACACCTTCCTTCTCTTATCCCCAACCACCGAGGGTTAGGTCACTGGGTACCAGCTGGAAAGTTCAGGACACTCTCAACTTCAGACCAGCCAGCTCCAAATTTGGGCTCCTCTTCTACTCCCATGGGGTACCAGTCACAAGCCCTGGAGTCCACATGCCTCTGTATACTTCAGACTGGCAAACTCCCCCTTCTCTCTTGGATCTGATAATTCTCTGAAATGACTCACAGAGTTGTAGGAGACACTATACCTGTAATAACAGCTTTAAAAAACTAAAAATGGATATAATGAAGATATGCATAGCATGAGGTATGGACAGGGGTCCTAACGTGGAGCAAGAACCAAAAGGACCCAGGAAGGATGTGCTACCTTTTCCTCTGCACAGTCACAACCAAGAAGCTCCCTGAGTCTCCATCTTCCAAGGCCTGGATAGGCCTCACCATGTAGCCATGATAAATTACACCATGCCTCCTGAGGCTCAGTCAACAGAGGCCCCAAGGTGGTCCCTCTTGGTCTGGCCAGTCCCCACTCATTTGTCTTAGGTGTGGTCCAGCTTTCAGGAACCAAGACCAAAGGTCAAATGCTTTCTGCAGGTGTGGAAAGGAGCCCCACTGCTGACCTAAAGAAGAGTCCAGGCTGGTGGCAGAGGCTGAGACAAGAAACAAGAGACAGTGAGAGTATAGTAACAAAAGATACATCAAGAACTATAGGAGTAGGTTGGGAATGAATCCTGGCACATTGAAAAGCACCTGACCAAGCACACTTTCTGTGCAGATGGGGAAACAGAGTCATCCATCAGGTATATGGTAACTTTGGGTAAGGCCAGAGCACTTCTCACCATGTATCTGCCTTCTAAAGTGGCTGAGCTAAGGCCCCCTTTCTCTAAAGGATGGAGGCCATGCTGGGTACAGATGTCCAGTTGTCCCATACAACTCTTGGGGGCTTCCCTTATGACTCCTTCCCAGTTTAACTGGGGCACTTTGAAATTGCAGAAAGGCATTAACCATCTGCAGTGTCTGAAGAGAAATGAGGGCACAATGAAGTGACAAAATCATCAGCAGAAGCCCTGATAAGATGGGCTGCGAGACAGCGGGGAGGCCTTGTAGACAGTGGGGAGGCCTTACAGAGGGGTGGAGTGAGCCACCAGTGCAAGGGGGGCTGCAAGTGTGAGGACCAGCTTTTGGAAGCAGTAGCTGGGGAGGGTGCTTAGGACTCAAGGCTGAGTAAAACTAATTCTCTCTCCAGAGGCCTAGGCAAGAGCTGGGCTCAGAAATGGGCCATTCTCTTCTTCATCCTCAGAATCTTCTCTTCCCCTACGGTTTGCAAAACCCTTTTCCCAGGACGCCAACCTCCTCCAGCTGCTTTTATTTCCAGATTGTTATTTGCTTATTCTAGTTTTCAATCTTTCTTTCTTCTTGGAAAAAACATGGGCATTAAGGTCCAGGCTCTGAGAAGTGGCTTAAAAAACCAAACCAAACTCACTGCTGTCGAGGTGATTGTTACTCATAGTGACACCTCCTTGGGTTTCCAAGGCGGTATCTCCACGGAAGTAGAATGTCCAGTCTTCCTTCCAAGGAGTACCAGCTGAGTTTGAACCACCAGCCTTCTGGTTAGCAGTCAAGTGCCTTAGGCACTATGCCACCAGAGCTCCTGAGATGTAGCTTAGCTCTGTGGAAAAAGCAAGCTCAGGCATTAGACAGGCTGGGCTATCTATCCTGACAGGCTCTGTGGGCCTCAGACCTTTATTTCCCTCCAAGTATTAGTGTTGAAATACTAAGAGCTAAGTAGGTGGGAGG